AATTATCCCAATAAAAATGATTGGAAATTCTTGTATCCCAAGACCTGAAATTGTTGTGCTAGCCAATTCAGTTTTACAAAGAGGTATTTCTTACTACCTGAGTTCCAACAAAGGAAGATTTGATAGAAAGAGAAGACAGTATTGAGACCCCTTGAGAGTATGGAAGTGAGTGCTCCTTGTGGCTTCATGGAGATGCTACTGGAACAGTGTGAAAACGTTCCTGTTTCCTTGGCAGCAGCACAAGATTTAGTTACAAGTAAGAGTAAGCGAGGAGCCATCTGACTTGAAAGATAACTTAGCATTTCACTCACAGGTTCATGGACTTTTCCTAATATTAATCACCAATGACACAGAAGGTACTCACCTAGCACATTGTGTTTGTACAGTCATGGCTTATTAATAATTTAATTCTTATTTTTCAAGGGAGATAGTGAGAATTGCCTGACATAGCTCCTTAAGTCATCGTCCCTGCTGTGGTCTGAATATTTGTGTCCCTTCAAAATGTACAGGTTGAAACTCTAATCCCCCGTGACATGGTATTTTAGGAGGTGGAGCCCATGGGAGGTACTTAGGTCATAAGGGTGAAGGCCTATGAATGAGATTAGTGCCTTCTGAAAGACACTCCAGAGAGATCCCTCACCCCTTTTCACCATGTGGGAGAGCCCTGGCTTTTTTCCATGCAGCGAGAAGCTATCAGCTTTGACTCAGGAAGAAGACCTTCACAAGAACCCAACCACAATGGCATCTAGATCTTGGACTTCAAGCCTCTAGACCTGTGAGAAATAAATATCTGTTGTTTATAAGCCGCCCAGTTTGTGATATGTTTTTATGGTGCTAGCACAGACTAAAATAATGCTCTCCTGTGCTTTGGCTGTATAGAATCTGCTCTGAGAAGAAAATTGTTTTTGGAAATGCTCCTGTGATCAGAGGCTCTGAAGAGGATTTTATTAATATGAAATAAAGCAGCTGCCAACTAAAAAAGATGTTCTTTCTGATCTGTCTTCTTCCTTGACCATTCCATTCCATTCTATTAAAATCAACTCACGATGCTTTAAAACAGCCTGTTCCTGGCCTTGTGCTAGGAGAACATTCCTTCTGCTATTGCAAATGAGCCAGATGTGTCCTTCAGCAGGCATGGGGCACGGAGGCTCCAAAGCGCGCTCCGAAGTCTTAAGTGCAGTCAGATGAGCTGTGCTCAGGGTTTTACAGGCTCATTCACACTTTGGAAGTCATTATCTCAAGCACACCTTTGTTGTCATTCCATTAAATAGAACCTCTTTCTTTGTATTCTTTTTTTTACTATGCTTTAAAGCTTTGAAAGGAAAGCCGGTTTGGTCACAGATAGATACACCTAAAGAATACACAATGCTTTATTGCTCTTCTTTTCAATTAATCTTTCTTGTGCTGGCCTAGTGGGACTCTGTTCTCTGGCAATGTTCCAGAGGACACCAAGACTGACCCCGTCTACCTGTCATTGTTTCCTGGGTGGTTTGGTTATTTCACTCTGTGTTCCCCTGGCAGCAGCAGCTCTAGTAATTGAAGCCACCTGTTCGGTGGCGTGTCCTCTCTTCCCCAAGAGCAGCTGAAACTCCATGTGCTGCACCACTGTCAGCTCCCTGCTGCCTGCATTTGAATTTGACTGCAGAAGAGGAGCACAGCGTCGACCTGAACCCAAATTGATTCTGCTGGGTGTTTCCAGAACTTGCAGCTGGACCAAGTGCATATTGCTCGGCATCAGAAATGTGTCTTGATTTAAAAGAATTTAGTGTGGAAAATCATAATTTAGGAAACTAAAAAATATGATGTGATGGTTCTTAGAGGCATGACCTTTACAATAAAAGGGAACTCAGAAACCACTTAATTCAATTCTCTATCAACATATGATACCTTCCTACAAAATCTCCTGCAAGTGGCTCTTAGATAATACTCGGAGCATCCAGTGATAAGGAGCATGTTCTCTCAAGTAGCTCATGCCATTTTCAGAGCAATAATAAAATTTCTCCCATAATTAAACTAAAAGCAAATTCCCCTATTTTATTCAGCCCATTTACTTGAATGTTCACTCACGACTATGTAAGGAAAATTTTTTTTACCCAAATTTCAGTTATTTGAAGACAACTGTAAAGCTCTTCTTCAGGCAAAATGTCCTCAGTATTTTTCAAACTTTCCTTATCATATCATGATTTGAAGATTTTTCCTTCCCTTAGGATATTGGTTTTTTATTCTCTGACAGAACTGACTGTCCTAAGATGCAGATCACAGAGCCAAACTGGTGACATGAATGCTGAATGTAGAAGGAAGCTTGTCAGGTCTTTCAACCAGAAACTACGAGACAGACAGAAAATGAAATAATAAACTCAGAAAAGAGGCAGAATAAAAAAGTTGACATATAAAAATCAGTTGCATTTCTATACTTGCACAAAAAACAATTTAAAAAATTTAAGAAAATAATCTCATTTACAATAGCATCAAAAAAGAATAAAATACTTAGGCATAAACTTAACCAGGAAAACAAAAATGTTACACACTAAAAACTATAAAATATTGCTGAAAAAAAGCGTAAAAAGACAAAATAGATGGCATAACATTCTGTGCTCTTAGATTAGAAGATTTATTGTTAAAATAGCCACACTACCAAAAGCAATCTACAGATTCAATGCAATTCCTATCAAAATCTCATTGACAATTTTGCAGATATAGAAAAAAGTTATGACATTCATATGGAACTACAAAGAACCCCAATAACCAGAACAATCTTGAAGAAAAATAAAGATGGCATCAAACATTCTTATTTTAAAGCATATTACAAAGCTATTTTAATCAAAACGGTATGGTGCTCACATAAAGACAGACATATAAACCAGTGAAACAGAAAAGGGAACCCAGAAATAAACCTATATACACATATATGGCTAACTGATCTTCAACAAATTTGCCAAGAATACACGTTTGAGAAAGGGTTGTTTCTTCAACAAATGGTGTTGAAAAAAGTAGACAGCCACATGCCAAAAAAAAAGAAAGAGAGAGAGAGAAAAAGAAAGAAAGAAAGAAAGAAAGAAAGAAAGAAAGAAAGAAAGAAAGAAAGAAAGAAAAAGAGAAAAGAAAAGAAAAAGAAACTGGACAACTATCTTACACCATAAGCAAAAATCAACTCTAAATGGATTAAAGAACTAAACATAAAATCAGAAACTATAAAACTTCTAGAAGAAAATATAGGGGAAAAACTTTATGACATTGTTCTTAGCAGTGATTTTTTTAGACATGACACCAAAAGCACAAGCAACAAAGTAAAAATTGATTAGTGAGATTACATCAAACTAAAGAGCTTCTGCACAACAAAGGACACAATAAAGAGAGTAAAATGACAGTTTATGGAATGGGAGAAAATATTTGCCAACCATAAATCTCCACCATATATACAAAGTACTCCTACAACTCAACAAAAAAACAAGGAAAAGAAAACACAAAATACCCCCCCCCAATAATCTGATGAAAACTGGGCCAAAGAGTTGAACAGACATTTTTCAGAAAAAGACACAAAGGTATATAACAAAGAGCTGCAATATCACAAGTCATCAGGGAAACACAAATCAAAGCACAATGAAATATCACCACACTTGTTAGAATGGATACTGCTATAAACTAAAAGTTTGTCAGATTAGGACTGAAGCCTAATCCCTGTTGTGCTGGTATTTGAAGGTAGGGTCTCCGGAGGGTAATTAAGTTTGGATGAGGTCATGGGGGTGGAGCCCTCATGATGGAATAGGTGCCCTTGTAAGGCAATGAAGAGCCCAGCTCTCTTTCTCTCTCTCCCGCTGACCCTGCCATGAAGGGACAGTAACCAGACAGCCTTCCATGAATCAGGATGTGAACCCTCACCAGACACGAAATCTGCCATGTCTTGATCTGGGACTTCTAAAATAAGTGTTTGTTATTCCCCGTCTATGGTATTTTTGCTTTAGCAGCCTGAACTGATTAAGATAACCACTGTCTGTAAAACAGAAAATAACAAGTGTTGGTGAGAATGTGGAGAAGTTGAAACCTTTGTGCTCTGTGGGAATGTAAAATGATGCAGCTCGTTGCTATGGAAAATAACATGGTGATTTCTCATGAGATTAAAAATACAACTACCCTATAATCCAGCCATCTCATTTTCGAGTCTATATCCAAAGAATTGAAATCAATGTCTCAAAGAAATATTTGCCCTCTCATGTTTATTGTGGCATTATTTACAACAGTCAAGAGGTGGAAACAACCCAAATGTTTATTGACACATAAATGAATTTAAAAATGTAGCATATGCTTGGAATATCACTTAGCTATAAAAAGAAAGAAATTCTGTCATATGCTACAACATGGATGAAACATGAAGTGAAATGAGCCAGGCACAGAAGGATGAATTCTGCATCATTGCACTTATATGAGGTATCTAAAAGCATCAAACTCATTGAAGCAGAAAGTAAAACAGCAGTTGTGAGGGCCTGTGGGAGAGTCACTGTTAAACGGTGAAGTTTCAGGAGTGCAAGATGAAGATGTTCTGCCGAGCCGCTGCACACGGTCGTGTCTATAGTTAACAATGCTCTACGGCACGCTGAAAACTGTGTTAACAGGGTAGATCTTACGTTATGCATTTTTACCACACTAATTGTAATTTTTAAAAGCCTACTTTGATGTCCATGCTTACCAATACCCTCAGCAAAAAAGAGAAACCTACATAGGAAAAAAAAGTAGAAAAGCTGTGGATTTCTACCATACACTTGGATGAACCAGACCTTCCAAACAATCCTGCCATTGAGAAGCCCTGTTCATGGTCTTTCAAGTCCTTCAAGGCTTCACAGAAGTGCCCATAGGTGAGAAGCATCAGCTATCTCAAAGGGAGTTTCTGCTTCCAGGAACGAAGTCTCACACTCAGAGGTGCTTCCTGTTTTTTCAAACACCTTGCCCACCTTCTGCTCACGAAGCATGCATTCTGCAAAACGTCAGTGAGCCCCACAGGAAACTGCCTGCAAATTCAGGTAGCTTTTTTGATTTTACTTTCAGAGAAATGCCAGCAAAAGCTGTAGTCATTTGGGGAAGAACAAGCCTGGAAGAAAAATACACAGCAGACCAGCACCAAGAGGGTGAGAACATTTTTCTGTGAAAATGCTATCTGCAAATTACATTGTTAAATAAATGTGCTTTCTTTAGGTTTTTGGCTCCTGTGGGTGGCATTAGGTGAATGACTGCAAGTGGGTGGTGTTTGTCATTTCTCCGATGTGACAGAGGGAGAGAAAAAAAGGAAGGCTGAGGGGGAGAGTAGGAAGGAGGCCCGTTTGGGCTGGAATGCCCCAACTGAGCTCAGGGGAAGAATTACTAGAAGCATTTTTCCATTTCAAGAAAATCACAAGCCTTTCCTGGGATTTTAGAACCACCATCTTGAAAAAAGCATTGATGGCAGTGTTAATTAAATCGCATGAGTGTTTGCTCACAGTGAGCTTTGAACGAACTATTCTGGGGAACTTCTTATCATGGTTGTAGGTGGACTAGTTGGAATGAGAGGGCTAGGCTCTGCACTCAGTTTTCAAATGGGTTCAGAGAAGTTCAAGGTGATGAGTGCTAAGTCATATTATAAACTCTGGACAATCTTAGGTAATAAATTGCTTTTCATATGATCAAATTCAAAATAGGGGAAATTGGTAAATTTCTGGCAACAATACTTGTTCAGCTCCCAATGTAAATTTTGATATTGCTTTTATTTTTTCCCATTTTTTTCTAATCCATATTGCCAAATTAAGTTAAACTGCAAAAATGCTTTTGTTTATCAAATTGACTCCTTGATGTATTTTTTTCTGAAATGAAATTACAATCAATAACCACAAAAGTAAGCTTCTCTCAGTTACCTGGCAGAAGGGCTGGGTGAGAGCGCTCTTCTCCACCAGGACTGAAACCCCTATCTGTACCCTCCACTGGTACAGATTTAGGATGCACGGGGACCAGTGCATTTAGGATGCCCTTAGTTGCAAATTAAGTAAACAAAGCTGTTGACTTCTTTTTGTTTGTAATAAATATGAAAACACCCAAACAACTGTATATGAAATGTAAACTTTCTAACACATTTTATTTGGAAAAATATACATCTAAAGGTTCAAGAAACATAGTAATTTTTTAAACTGTAAAATCTGTTCTGTGTTCTGTGCATGAATTTATTCCCCTTTCAGCTGTGTCATGTAGTTCGGTAAACCCCCTTGTCACTGTGGGGTAATATCTATTGAGGGTCCCCCAAAGTAAATGCTATAGATTCAAAGAAGTGCTTGTTCTGAGGAACCTCACATCCTCTCAGAACATACAAATAGCATGGTGGGAAGATCACCAAATATTGACAAAGGCAGGCTGGATTTCTGTTTCACTAACTATTTCTGAACTTTAATTTTCTCATTAGCAAAATGAGGGAATTAAATTAGGTGTTCTCTGAAGCCTCTTCTAGTTCCAAAATGTATTGATTCATTGGTCCTAAGAACACCTGGAGTCAAAGACAGCCCATGCTAAGTGTCAGGTGAGTTGCTGTCATGGTTCTGAAGAGCAGGCACTGTATAGGGCTGCAAAAACGGGCAAACCCATGGGGCTGAGAGATGGGCTGGGTCTGCCAAATGGACAGAACTTAAAAAGGTAGAGAAGAGGGGCAAGAGTTCACAGGCTCATTTGGGAGATCAGAAGATGTTCAATTATGAATAGATTCAGACAGACCCTGTATGCACATCTGCCTGCTGGAAAAAACCCTGTTTCTTGCTACCCTAACATGCAAGGATAATGATGGTCACTGGTGAACAAGTTTTAGTAGCTAACACAGATGATCCAATAAGCAGAGTGTCCTGAGAGGAGAGCCAACAAGATGAGCTGGGTTTTAAACCTAGAGCTCTTTTTGTTGTTGCTAATTTTATTTTTCAATTTTAGTTTACAATCAATATTATTTTATATTAGTTTCAGGTATATGGCATAGTGGTTGGACATTTATAAAATTTACAAAGTAATTCCCCTGATAAATCTAGTACCCACATGGCACCACACATGGTTATTACAATATTATTGACTATATTCCCTATTCTGTGCTTTATATTCCTTTGCCTATTCTGTAGTACTAATTTTTACTTCTAAATCCCTTCACTTTTTTTACCCAGTGCTCCCAACCCCCATCCAATCTGACAACTGTCAGTCTGTTCTCTGTACCTATGAGTCTGTTTCTGTTTTGTTTATTTATTTAATTCTTTACATTCCACATATAAGTGAAATCATATAGCATTTGTATTTCTCTTTCTGACTTATTTCATTATTCTAATACCCTCTAGGTCCATCCATGCTGTTGCAAATGGTAAGATTTCATTCTTTTTCATGGCCGAGTAATATTCCATTACATATCTTGACCATATCTTCTTTATCTAAACATTCTCTTTTAAGTAGTTTGGTGTCCCTTAAAGAAGTTCAGAAAGTAAGTATTCCTGAAGTAAAACACAAAATCATAGGATAACAAGACATTGGCTCAAGGCAGTGGAGCAAATAGAACGATACTATCCACTAAGAAAGTTGCAGCTCCCTATGTACAGGTATGTCTACATGACCCCTGCTCCTTGCCCTTTCACCCCATCCTGTTCTCTCGGTCAGTCAGTTCCTTTATGATCTCTCTTGCCTCCAAACCAACTCAGGCCCCATGGCCAACTACTTCTAGTATTAGCTACCTAGACTCCATTATTTGTTCTGTTTTCATCTGCCAATCCTTCACCATCCAACAATCTCATTATTTGCTCTCCCCAATTCTACCCTTGAGCTCCGGAGTCTGTGGTGAAATCAAAACTGTCCCGAGCGTGTTCCCCACATATTTGCTTTTTATAAACCTCAATTGGACTATTATTACTACTCAACCACTTTTAAAAGTTTCTTTATAATTACATCTTTAAATTTTCACCACCATTAATGTTCTTTATCTTCAAATTCTTACTCTCATACTTTTAACCATTTGATGATATCCTACTTCCTGTATTATTGATGTTCAGTATTATTAGCTGACACATATACCCCAATTTTTCTCTATCACTTTGTCTCAAGTTTATGCTGTATTTTTACCCAGGAATATACTTAGCCAGCATTTAAAGGGTGTTTATTAAGAGCCAGGCTCTTACACATATGTTGTCATTTAATCTTTTCAACAACTTTGTTAGGTAAGTATTATCATCTTTATTTTATAGATGAATAAGACGTGTGCCCCAAATCACTCAGCTAAAAAGAACAAAGCCATCATCGAAATTTAGTGGATGTCATATCAGAAGCTACATTCTTTCTTCTGACCCCGAGGGTAAGTGTGGGAAGGAGTGTGTATGTGGTGGGGGGTGGGGTGGGATTCGAACATCTACAAGTTCAAATATATTGTCTCATATCCAAGACCAATCTGTCCCTTCTGCCTCTGCCTTCTCTCCTATCCTCACTCACCTACTTAAGAGCTTTATATCAGTTAGCTCTTGCTGTGTAACAAACCACCTCCCAACTTAGTGGCTTAAAGCAATAATCATATACCATTGCTCATGAATCAAAAGATAAGCAGATGTTTCTGCTCTTATGGGCCAGTTTGGGCAAATTTCAGCTGCATTCACTCACATCTCAATGGCCAGCTAAAGGCTTGTCTGGGACCGAATGGTCTAGAACAGCCTTATTCACATGTCTGGAAACTGGCCTGATATTAGCTGGGATGACAAAACTGGTTAGGCCATGTGTCACTCATTGCCCAGTAGGCTGTCCACATGTGAATGTCTGTAGGATCCCCCCAAGGACACAAAAGAACAAGTCCCTGTGTGCAAGCACTTTACAAGTTGCTTTTACATCACATATGTTACTGTCCCACTGGTCAAGCAAAGCCACTGTCAGGCCCAAAGTCACCCAAAAATATAAACAAAAGGGAAACACAACTATTGTACAAAAGTCTACAGATTTTGATATAATAGTTATATACCACCCTTCTCTTTAATCTATCCCTATCACTGTCTCCTTTCCCTTTATCTATCAATTGGGTACAGTCTACCCTGTTCTGGGAAACCTTTGATCCCATGGTTCCTGAAGTATTATGTAGCTGAACCCAAAAGTGTCAGGGATTGATGGCATAACCAAAAATTCTCTGAACTAACTTCCAGGTAGATGGAAAACTATGACAATTAAAGGATAACCAAAGTAGTTAAAAAATGTACAATGACCACAACTACTGTCAAGGACAGACAAACAAAAGACTTTTTTATTTCAGAGAGGAATATTGTTCAGAAATCTTGGCATATGGTGAAAATAAGAAAGTACACTGCTGTTTTGGTGGTTATATTTCTGTTTGAAAAATCTCTCCAATGTCTCTTCTTATTACCTGAGCCTGAGGGAGACTCTCCTAGTGCTCCGGCCTGCCTCTTTCCCGAGCCTTAGCAAGGAGGCAGGCCGTTCAACCTTAATATTTCATCATAATTTGTATCTCATTATGTTAATAAGCAAAGTAAAAAACACCTTAGTTTTTCTCTGACTTTACCAAAGCTCTGTTGGATGGAATATATTCTTTTAGCTTGACAAGATATTACATAACTACCTTGTGCTTCCCCAACACTGTCTTAGAGCTTCCTCTCGTCCACCTCCTTATTCACACTCAGCATTTTAATTCTCTTCAACATGACAGTATGAAATAGTACATAATATTTTAATTTGCATTTCCATGCTATAAAAGGAATGCTTCACTGCACAGAACGTTAAAATGAAGTTTTTCTCTGATTTCTCTTGCAATATCCCCCAATCCAATTTCTCTTAGAACTAACCAAATTTTTTTTTGTTTATAATCTTTTGCCTGACAAATGAACCCCATTTTTCTCTGGGTAAATATATTTCAAAGCAGGTGTTTACACCTCATGGTACCAGAGAAAAAGTAAATGATTTGCATAAGTAGAGGTAATATTCTCCAATTTTCTTTTCCTGTTGTTCTCCCACCGGTTGATAAGCAATGCAAGCAGCCAAAGTGCCGCATGTAAAGGTGATTTGTTGGTATTTGCTGCTTGGCTTAAGAAAATGAAGTGGCTAAAAATCTGACAAAGATTTCCTCTTGTCACTGTGATGCCCTAGGAAGCACCTAGGTTCTGGGCCTTTCACCAAAACAAATGTGTGTGTGTGTGTGTGTGTGTGTGTGTGTGTGTGTGTGTGTGTGTGTTTTAATCCTAGGATTTTATTGGGCAGATGAAGGTGGCTTCATTCCTTTGGAAATTTTCCCTCTGTGTTTATGCAGTTTGTGGTGTGATTTTCTCTTTGTTCAGATAGGATTTGAAGGAGCAAATTCTGATGTTCATCTCAGCGAAGGCATCAGAAAATCCAACAATGTCATATTATTAAATAAAATGTATAGTTATACAAAAGACATTATAAAGCCCTTTTAAAGGTCATTGCAGAATCTTAAGTGATCTGAAAAATGTTCACAAAATCAGATTCAGTCAGTGGAGATTTTATATGTACATATATGCAGTAGTTATGTTTCTTTCTTACAATCCATCCATCTACCTATCTAGACAGGAAAAGACAGCAAATTATTAACAGTAGGTATGTTTGAGTAAAGAGATTATGAATTATTAAACACTTAAAATATGTTTCTAATCTTCAATAGTTCTACCATACACATGTTTTATTTTTGCAATATAAAATTATTTGAAAAGTACCTTTTAATAAAAAAAGATAACATGACAAAAGTCCTCAGAAGACTTGGCCTTAGACTACGGGAGCTTTGATGAAGAAATTTAATATATACAATTATTTTCCTTTCTGGTTTCTTGAGTTTGACATTGGTTTGAGAAAATAATAATGGAATAGGAACTTTCCAGGTATATTTTGTAGACATACACTCAGTAGATTCAGACATGCGCAGACAAGATTGATAGACTGCTGGCATCTATTTGCATGAAGGACAGAGGGTCTTGGTAATGAAAAGTTATTATTTTCTTGAGGTTAGTGGTTGGTACCTCTGCGTCTTTCATTAACCCCATCCATTGTGATATGGATGGATATTCTAACCTCCCATTCGCAGGCTCTCCAGTTAATGAAGGCAGTCAGTGTACTAAAGGGAGTTAGAACGAACAAGCTCAGTTGCAGGTGTCCTTGGGCCAAAGAAGAACTCAGTTACACCTACATACAGTGACAACAAGCTTCCTACTCCTCCTTCAGAGAAGAGTCATGGCCCTTAGGAGAGGAAGCTATGAAAGAGAATGAATAAAATGAATGCTTTATCAACCAGTGTTGGTACAAAGCAAACAGGTCACGAGGCACCCAGTTTCATTGGTATCCATCAAAGCATTGCTACCTCCATCTGGAAGCCTGATAAAATGAGAGACAGTAAATGGGTGAGGCTGTGGGTTCCCATCACATCTATTATCATCATAAATTAATCTCTTGAATAAATAAATTAAGGTATATTTTAATATGCTACTGTATCCTAACTTGTTAAAAATTTCTATATACAATTTCCTAAGACAAGAGGAAGAATTTAAAGCTCCAAAGCAATTGAGCACATGTTTATGAAATTTTCGTGCCGTGTGTCTAGCACTGGACTAGGTATTGTGGAGGCTAAAGAGATAAGACACTCCCTCTGAATGGAGACTGTAGGATCTTATTTGGGAAATAATAGCAGAAGCACATGCAGCATACAAACATCACCTACACCAAGAGGTGAAGTAGGATGACCTATATAGGTGGAGAAAGTGGTCTATTGCAATTTTAGAATACGGACTCTGGATTTAGTTCCCCTGAAAATCCTGTCTTGGTTTCTTCTAATACTGGCTATGCCTAAGACACCTTGGGAAAGTTACTTAATCTCTGTATGCCTCACTTTCTTCACCCGTAAAATGGTAACACTAAATCTGCTTCATTAAGTAGCCTGCATGTAATATGCTTAGAAGAGCTTCTAACACATAGCTAGAGCTCAATAAACAATAGCTCTTATCACTGCCAAATGTCAAAAAAGAAAAGGTCCAGAGAATACATATGATACTTGTAAAATATCGATTGCCAGAGTTGGAGCAGACTTTTGACAGAAAGTGATGCCTTTTAGAAATGGCATGGTCAGATTTCAAAGAACATTTTCAGGTTTGCATTTTATAAAAGGCTGGGAATTACTCATCTCAATGACAGCTGCAAATCATTCCCATACGGAAAAGAAAATAAGTGGAAAGAAAAAAATATCTCAGTTGATTATTCTTTTTTTAAAATCTTACATCAATGATACAAGGTTTTTCTTGAGAGTTTGAAAACTTCATGACAACCCACAGCTCACGATGGTGACAATCCTGAGGATATAGAAAAATCATTTCCCATGCAGGAAAGAAGAAAATATGGTAAGACAAGATAACAGTATACCATATTATTTTTAAAAGGTAAGAGAAAACAAGCATATATTAGTGCCTACTATGTGATGCATGGTACTAGAATCTTCAATCTAAAATTAAATAATATAGCCTGTACCCTCAAGGGTTTGAAAGAAGGCAATCACTAAGTGATTTAAATACAATGTTAGGGAGTGGAGGGATTGAGCAAAAAGGAAAAAGGACTCATGGACACGGACAACAGTGTGGTGATTGCTGGGAGTGTGGGTATAAGGAGACTAAATAGTAATGGAAAAATAGAGTGAAGATTAAATTTAAAAAATGCAAAGTGATCAAGGGTAGAACCAGGCACCATGGAAGGCATGGAAGGGGTCTCTCAGCAGGGTCAGCAAAGGCGGTCTGGAGGAGATGCTGTCTGAACAGGATGCAGAGGCTGAAGCAGTGCAGGCGCATCACTGTGTCTGGATTGCCAGTGTGGAAAAGCGAGGGGTGCAGCGGAGCCTGGAGAGGAAAGCGGAGGGCATGTGAAGGAGTTCTGCCTTTATTCTGAGACCAACATGAATCCATTAAATGATTTAAGGAAGGGGAATGATGGTTAACTATTTTAACTTTCTAAAGATCATACTGGTTGCACACTTGAAACAATCTGAAAAATAGACCTTTTATTCTGAGCTTTTGTAAATTTTGTAGCTGCAAAATCTTGTGCATATTGTGTACTTATACCCACAAAATCTTGTAGCTTTCTGAGTCCATAAAGTGAGGTGCAACTCACGGTCCGTCAAATCTGGGCGATGGCCCACCCAGCAGCCCTCCTTGTGCTTCCCTCAGTTCCCTGGAACTAATAACACGACTGCCACCTTAGACAAAGTAGAGGAAGGGGAGAAATTAACTTGTTTTCTTCCTTTTTAAATAAAAATAGACACACCCATGGAACCCACACCCAGAGGAGAAAGTACTATGCACTAGTTGATGGCACAGGATCTTGATTTAAAAGCCAGTTTTGCCCATTGCTCTGTCTGTGACATTGAGCAAATTTGTCAATATCTCTGGCCTCAGTGTCTTTATTTTGAGACACTGAGTGGGAACTTACTTTGAGTGGGAATAAAATTATGTCTGCCTTATATTAGTCAGAATTGGCTAACTAGTGTAAGGAATAAACCAAATCTCAAAGGCTTATCACAATAAAAATTTATTCCTGGTTCAAGTCAAGAAATGGCATTGAGTAAAATAATAAAATTAGTTAAAGGTAGCAAGATAAAAACATTTCATACAAAAATTATTTTTCATATATATATGTAATAACTATTTAGAGGACGTAATAAAAGAAAAACTGTTCATTTACATAAACAACCAAGATTAAATACTTCAGATTAAACTTAAAAAATGCAAAACTGTATGAGAAAAACATTCCTGAAAGCTCTGAAAGGAAACTGAAAAAATGGAAAAACACTCCCAGTTTTGAGTTAGCGTAACTCAGTACAAATTGTCAACTCTCTACATTAATGTAAAATTTAACACAACCCAAATAAAAACATGAATGAGCTTTTTCATAAAGGTAGACAAATTGATATTAAAAATCATGTGGGGCACTCACTTCAGCAGCACTTTCAGCAAAGTTGAAATGGTAATAGAGAAGATTAGCATGGCCCCTGTGCAAGGATGACGCCCAAATTCAAGGAGAAATCATGTGGAAAAACGAACAAGGAAGAGTAGAGGAGAATGCACGGAAAAGGTTCCGACCTATACTACAGAGTCTTCATAAATAAAACAGTACGGTCCCGGTACATTAGTAGATAAATGGACAAGGAGGGTAGATCAGAAAGCCCAGAAACACGACCACATACAAATGGAAATTTAGTATATGTTAAATTTAGTGTGTGATAAATTTAGTAATTTGTATCATCACAAATTACTGGGAAAAACTGTAATTTTAATTACATAGTTCTGGAACAGGAGAATAGCATTTGGAATAAAATTAATTTAGATCCATATCTTATTATATCTAAGCATAAACTCCAAATGAAACAGGGATTTAAATGTAAAACGAATGGGGGTGGGGGAGTACTAGAAGAAAATATTGGTGACCACCTCCTTAACCTTAGTATAGAAAAAGATTTTCTAGCTATGATGCAAAATCCAAAGGCAATTTTGAAAAAAATTGATAACTGGCTATATAAAAATAAAAGTTTTCTGAATGGCAAAAAATTATATAGTCAAAGACAGCTAAAAAGCTGGAAAATGTTTGTATCATAGCTCCATCTGTAGATAAAAACTAATGTAACTAATATAACTTTTAGAGATTTCTTAAAATTGAGGAGAAAAAGGTTTTGAAAATCCATTAAAGTGGGAAGAAGACACAAGCAGACAATTCGCAAAAAGAGATATAAAAGTGACCCTAAAAGATAGAAAAAAGTTTAATATCACTCATAATTCAAAAAATTAAAATTAAAAACTATACGGGGTTAATATTATCAGATGACAATTAAAAATTATGACACATTCCACAGGAAAACAGGTACTCTTATACATTGTTATTAGGAATGCAAATTGAAAGGGAATTTGGTGATATCTAAGAAAACTACACATACATTTACCTTTTAATTCAGCAATTCCACTTCTGGGATTTTACCTAGAAGATACACCTCCAATAATACAGAAATGCATTGGGGCAGGGTAACTACAGTATTATTTGTTATTGAAAAATATTGGAAACAATGAATATGTATAAATATAGGAGACTGATTAAATAAGTTATGCACATCTGTATAGCTATAGAAGAAAAATAGAAGAGGATTTCTATGAAGTAATATGAATCATTTGCTGGGATACATTATTTTTAAAAAAGGCCAAGTACAGAGATGTACCTATTACCTGCCACCTTTCATATACTAAGATATAAAACATACGTGTGTCTGCACATTTGTGCCAAGTGAAACAGAGAAGGATAGCCCAGAAACCAACAAGATTGCTTTCACATACGGAGACCGGGAGGAGAGGCATAGCGGGGGAGGCCTGCTGGGAACAGTTCTGAGTGTTACTCTCTGTACCGTTCTGACTCTCAGAAACCATGATAATGTTTCATAGACCAAAAATGTAAATAAATGATTCAAATCAAGCAGGATGAGGAGATAACACGATAACTCAATCTCAACCATAACACATGAGTCTACCTCTATTACTACACAGAAGGGGGTGGGGAAGAAAAGAGCAAACTGAAATAAGTTTGAAAAACCGTATTTTGACTCTATACTGTAAAGATCGAAAGAAATCTATACATACATTGCATACCAGTTAGTAAGTCCTCCCACTTCTCTAGAGCAGCATAAGTTAATAATTGCGAAACTAGTTCATATACATTTCAGGACTGTGCAAGTAAGTAAATAAACTTTGAATAATGAGAAGCAGACTCCTTTCTGTCAGAGAAAGGTGTTAAAAATAAGGAAAAGAGGAAGACTAGAATGGACCTCGTGGTGTTGGATTGAAATGAAATAAACGCATGGTTGGAGTGAGAGAGAAAATAGATGACAGAAATTTAAATTATATGTACATGTACAAGTTTCCATACACACAGATCATTTTAGCTTGAGCTTTGTCTGCTGAGAGGGCCTGTGGCGATGACAGCGGTGGCAATCGGCAGAGCGAACACCCAGATGTTGGTTTCCAGACACCTTCACTAGTAAGAGAAACTACAGCTCTTTGGAGAGAAATAAATGATCCCAGGGCCGAAATAGGGAAAATATAAGGTTAGCTTAGAACATCTTATGGTGCAGAAAAGAAAAGAAGTGCTTTAAAAAGAAAAAAATGGACAGACATATGTTGAAAAAACACAGATATCAACCTGAAGAGATTCTCGACGGTCAAATTTGGGCCAATTTGAAAAACAAAGTAAATGGTGATAGTAATAGATTATAAAGCATAGAATTACATAAATATTCAAGACTCTATACCAATAAACACAAATAATTGAATAACTGATAAATGGGAGAGAAGGAAACTCTCTACTGAACAATAGAATTCTAATTAATAAATGTCAAAGAAATTATGGGAATAAAAAATCACCACTTGCTGATAAGTCAGTCAATGTAGTGTAAGAAACAGGATATTTATATACTCTTAAAATATCTCTTTATAAAATATGAATTAAGTACAAAAGAAAAGTTACATTAGACTGCAGAAATCCAGAAGACACCACTTTAACAAAGTGATCAAAATTAACATTCCCAATAATAAGATATTAACATATTAGACCCCCTGATATAATATACTAAGAAACCCACAATATCACTTCTGTGCTATTCTTACCATACATGTGTAATATGAATTTAATCACTATGAATTTCATCATAATCTGGGTCCTAGACCATCAAATTAACATTAATGGGACAACTGACACAAGTTGAATAACATCTTTAGATTAGTTAATAGTATAGTATCAATATCAATTTTGTGATTTTGAAAATTGTAGTTAAATAAGATGTTAACATTTGGGGACTTGGGTAAAGGGCACATGGGAATTTTACATTATATTTGGTATAAATTTTTCTGATGTTTGGTTAGTAATAATTCTAAACTAAAAAGTTAAAAAATTTGATTAAAAAGATAAAAAGAAACTTAAAAATGTTGCCATTTATGTTTACAATCTCAAAATAAAAAGATACTGACTTCTCAAATGTTAAATACATTTTACTTTATAAAAAGCTTTCAAAAAACATATAGGAAAGATATATTTTTAAATATAAATTCTCCCTTAGATCAGTATGTTTTCTCTCTCTGACTCATTATTTTGATTTTCCAACTATTGCTCATATTTTCAGAGCATATGATCCAGGTAGTGATGTAACATTTCTGTAACTTAACTCTTAGCGATAATTTTGCCCCTGTGGGTACTGAATGTCTCACAGTCTAATTTCACGTATGTATTGTTCTTAGGTGACAGGTTTCAGGGAATTCCATTTCTACCCAAGGTATTAGATGTAATTCAGCATCAGTGAAGATTTGGCCCACGCATAAAAAGTACTCAGTTGCAGTTATGAAGTTTTCTTCTTTATTTTAAAAAGGAAGATGGAGGCCAGGATAAAGGCTGGGCAACCCAGCTCTGGAATGTTTAGGCCACATTGCCAAACACAAGACTCTTCCCTGGTCTACAGTCACTTCACATCCTTAGTATCAAATAAACTATGCTGAAGCACTTCATTTCCTTAAAATACATTTATTTACACTAAGTAGCTAATTATAATGAATTTTTTTTTGTCTGTTTTAAAGAAATGCTTTGCTTCAGAGAATTAAGGTGAAAACACAGCAAGTCCCGTGATTTTACCACTAGAGGGCATAAGATACTAAGAAATACAGCAGACAAAGCCCTCTTGCTTCAGAGATTCTCAGATTTCATGGTTTGAAATTTTAGGTAACTATTTCCAGAAATGAACTCACTTGGAAAACAAATAAGGCATATGCAAATAAGGACAGGAAGAGGTCAGGAGGGGAAAACTATCATTTTTTTTATAAGAATGAAATCTTCATGCTCTCAAAAGTGCCCACTTACTTACACTTATTTATTATATTATTGATTTAGGTTAAACATTCAGTTAAACATTGAAATAAGTTGCCAATGATGAATTGTGATGTTTCGTCACAGCCTGGTGATGTTTGAGAAAAATACTGACTGTCTAATGCAATTGTACCCAGAAAATACTGAACAAGCTAGTTCCGAATCAGTGAGGCCAAGGCGTCGAGCTCAGTTTGCTGCGTGTGGATCAGTGAATGTGTCCCTGCATCAGGGCCACCCCTCACTCTAAAGACTCAATGTCGGGTGGGGCGCGGTGGGAGCGATGTGCACACGCGCCAGCCCAGCTCCACCCTGGAGACCTGAATCAAAGTGCACACCTACTGCTGTTGGGCCGACAAGATCTCACAAACTGGTGGTATTTTGGCCTTGAAATCAGAAATTACTTGGAGTAAAATTCAAACTTCCGTTCCTCCTATCATCATTCCCCCAACTACTCCTTTCTCACATAAGCCCCACCCTTTTTTTACCCCACAAAAAAAAAAAAAAAAAAAAAAATTAGATAATTTTAAAAATCATTTCAATTCTGCCATACTTTTTTTACCTTCCACAGGATATATATATATATATATATATATATATATATATATATAAAAGAGGTGGTGAATTACTGATTTTAATGGTTTAAAAAATCATTTCAATTCTGCCATACTTTTGCTGAAATACCTTGAATGGGCGAGTGATACTACTAGCCTTGAACTTGAACACAAGCCTCATCCACATGGGAAGGCACCTTACCCATTACATTGAGTTCATTCCTTTCCCATTGCACAGAAACCCCTAGTACTATTTTTCACAGATGAGGAATTTTGAAGGAAACCGTGCATACTAGTTGGAGTCAATATGATATTTCTATATCCGAAAAAGGCCTTGTTGGTTCGAGGGTGATCGTGAGCAGTACTGCATTTGTACAGCCGGACATTCCAGCGCACCCCTCATTTCTCCACGTGGCTCCCCAGTCTCTTAAACAGATAAAAGTAAACCACAGAGCTGAGAGACCATCTTGACAACTTAGCCGAAATACCATGTAATTATTCTCAATACAAGACAGGGAAGGAGGGTGTGTATTATTATTTAGAATATTTATTTCCATCATTTGAATATGTTTAGGAGGATTGCAATGGTTTTTTAGTTTTTTTTACTTTTTCAGAATAAGCTTAGAAATAATTGTATGATATAAATATTCTGCATTGTCTTAAAATTATTAGAGTGTATTTTTGCCTAATATAATAGCTAATTGTTTCATTTCTACTTCCTCACCTCCAGCTTTTTAATCATTCTCTTATTATAATATTTAGCTTTCCCCTTTACATATGGGGATTGTTGAGCCCCAGTTGTGTCTAGTTAATATGTGAAAATCATTGTGAATCTGCCTATTCTGACTGTTCATATTGCTGTGATTCCTTCGGGACCCAAATTCTTCTTTAAAGGAATTGAGTGGGTTTCAGAAGCAAAACCTGGTACATCACATTCGGCCCACCCAGGATCTGAGTGTGGGCCCATAGAAGCTGATCCCACTCTTTTGCACTGAACATCAGAAAGTTCACAGAAGACTTGTTTTCCCCCAACAGTGCTGGGCCTTACTGGAAATAGGGTCCTACAAAGACAAAAGACACCTCTCCCTGAGCTCAGCAGAATTCATGTTCCCATCTCCAGTCACTCTTTGAGTGTCCATGTGCCCCTGAGGGGACCTCCATCACATCCCTCTTCTATGAACTCAGGTAAGATGAATTTCCTTCTTTCCCAAACTTGAACTTCTCCCTTGCTGTGATGCTTATGGAATTACACTGTTTGGGGGAGTATTTGAGGTTGTGCTACTTTACATGCAGCAACAGTGTGTAGGGTAGCCAGGCTTTGATAACATCTGCAAGCAGGAGGCTGGGTTATGCAGGAAAATGCCCTGCCCTCAGGATACAATTGAGATTGAGGTCACACTCCTCACACCTGGGTAGGCTTGGATAGGTCCCTTAGGTATCACGGGGGGGAACTTCAAATACTGTATATATATATAAAGAAATTACAGCTTCTTTAATTTCTATAATGGATTTACTCTTTCTTATAAACACCCATATCACCAGATATGAGGAGGTGGAAAACACTTTTTAAATTTGTCAGTTTTAGGTATTACATTCTCTTCGATATAATTAGACTCTTCCATGATACATTTTCTTTTGGACAAATGATGACTCTTTCCAGCTTCACCTCTCTTTTCCTGCTCCTTCTAAAGGGAGGAGGGGAGGCTCGGGCCGATGTGACTGCATGGCTGCCAGAGCCCCCTGGGTCCTCAGCGAATGGCCTGGTTGCCTCCCACCTGATGTGTCACGAGTCTGCATGGCTCTTGGGGCATTGTATTGGTACACACTCTGTTCCTGACCACTTGCCTCTGGTTTGCCCTCACACATAGTAGCCTCTTTGTGCATCCTCAGGACTCTGCCAGTTCTCCGGTCTTCCAAGCACCAACACATCCACTCATTGAGGCAGAACCCCTCGGAGTCAGTTCTGCCTCATTCGCCTGTCCACTCACCAAGGCCACCACTACTGCATCACCTCACGTGTTGGCAAATAGCCTTCCAATAGAGCCCTTTGCTCCCAGAGTCCCAGCACTGAGAGGAAAACCCAAACTCTTCTTTGAACTTTCTGAGCAGGACACGTGAACTGAAAACCTACTTCTCTTATTCTCCTTCCTCTCTCCTTTTGTAGTCCTCTGGCATAGAATGTAAACATCCCACTTATTTTTAATACCTATAGAGACTTCTTTGTGCACCCTCTTTATGTCTCCTTTTTATGTCCTTTCTGAGATGGTGTTTTATAGTCTCTTTTCCTAAAACCGCAGTGGTGGATAGATTGCAGAGAGAAACATTTATAATGTTCAGTGTCAAAGTAACTGATCAGTTGATCAGTTAATCCCTAGGCAGGACCTGGGTCCTGGTTGAAACTTCCAGAGAGACACAAGCTTAACCCAGTGATCAGCTTTCTGCATTCCCAGCCTCCCTCCCTCTTTTTAGCATCGCAGATACTTATGTCAGTGGGTCTTATTAAGCCCACACCTTTCAGACAGTTTGGTTTCTGGCAATCGGCCATGTTTTTCTGAAATGATACATTCTTAAAGTTTCCCTTGGCCAGCAAGATATACCAATGTCTTTTCATTATTAGAAATAAATTGGCCTGATTTGTTAGCATTAGAACTTGCGATGCCTTTTTAGCATCTCTGTACAGTCCAATCATCCAAGAAGTTTTATCTCCTAGAACATGAGAGATTCGGTTTACTCTTGGGTAGTGTGGTGAATCTATCTTCTTTCAACACTATTTTTACACATATATTGCCGCACCACTGATCACAACCTTTCTTATTCTTACTATAATTTTTACTTTTACAGAACTCCTGGAATTGATTACTAATAATTCTCCACCTTGAATACATAGAGAGGTGAAGAAAAGTGTATGTCTAGGTTTTATGTACGGTCATGTACCTAACAGAAGAAACAGGACACTCACATGTCAACACTATCCTCTTAAAATTAATATAAATTAAGCATATCTAGTTATGTATAACTGTTTTTTGGATGATAATGTCTTCTGTGAACTTTACACTTTCCCATTTTGAATATCATTATGGACTTATAGAATTATAAACTCAACTTGCTTATGAATATTCACTTCTTAGTGTATAAATGTTCCGGGTTGGGTAGTGGAAACACCTCAAAGCTGGCCCATTGCCCTTCCAGAATGACCCCAGGTACCGGAAAGCATCCTTGCACTCAAACATGAGTAAAGTGTTCACCTAGCCTTCAGAGACCTGACTCCTTTTATTGGGGAGCTAGAAGAGAGAATATTAGAGAATACATTTGACATTGGTTTATTGCTCTACCTTTTCAATGGTGCAATGCATTAACAGTCACATTTGCATTTGTAGTTTAGCTTTGATTTCCTCAGTTCATTTTATTTTTCCCTATTTTCTTCTTCAATATACTTATATCAAGATCGATACAGGGCTCTTCAGGAGGGGTTCAGATCAGTATTATCCCCCATTTCTACCTTCCAGCTGAGCCTAGAATTCAAATCCTCTTTCCAAAGCTTCTGTTCTTATCTTTCAGCTTGAAAACTGGGGACAGTTTCGCAACAGAAATAACCCATGAGCCAGGTCTTAAAGAACAAGAGACTTTACCAGCAGGCCTGTGTGGGGGTGGAGAAAGAAAGAAAGGCTGCCCCAGATAAAATTAAGCATGTGCATAGGTGCCTTGCGTAGAGATCCAGAGGCGCGAAAGGGACTTGGAGTAAAACGATGGGGGGAGAAGGCAGTGACAAGAGCTGAGGGCAACATGGTATGCTTGGTTTGTGTGGCAGGGATCTTGATTTGCCACACTGTGGAGTTTGAGTTTTGCCCCGTAAGCACTCTTCAGACAAAAGGGACTAGGCGACTTTAAGAAATGACCTGGAAAACTAATCAGCAGATTAAACTCACAATTAATTATAAAAATTAATTCGTTTATACCATCAACCTCTTTTCAGTGTGGAGAGTTCTAGAAAAGTCTTAAAAAAGAAAAATTTTATGTTTAAAACTTGTTTTAACCAATCCTTGATGTTTTTATACATGAGATTGATGAGTAAAGTCCTAATGGAAACATCACCTCACTGCAGAAGTATGATAGTATTTGTCCGTCTCTTTGACGCATGGAAGAAGGGATCAGACACAGCCACTGTGCCATTGTGGTAGGTGGGATTCTGAGATGGCCCCATGAACACTGCCACTGGTGCTCCCCATGATTAAGCTGCACCTTTGATTAGATTACATTATAGGATGAGAGTGAAGGAATTGTACAGATGTAACTAAGGTCCAAAATTAGTTGAAAGACTCATCAAGAAGAAGGTTTTTCTAGATGAACCTCACTTAATCAGTTGGAAGCTCTCTAAAGGAGGGTTTTGAACCTCACAGAGATCGGAAAGAGATTTCTTTTGCTGGCTTTGAAGACGCAAGCTGCCATAACAAGCCCTACAGCTGCAAGGACGTAGATTCTTGCAACAATTAAATGAGCTTGGCAGAGGAATTTGAAACTCAAATGAGACCCTGGACCTGGTCACTACCTTGACTACAGCTTTGAGACACTCTGAACAGAGGGCCCTGCCGCACCCAGTCTGGATCCTGACTCACAAAAACAGTGAGATAACAGTGTATGTGATTTTAAGCTTTAAAGTTTGTGGAAATGAAGTGATAGAAAACCAATGTACCTACAGAGGGTTAAAAAAATCATATGAAATCAATATTTCCTATTAAAATAGAGAGTGTATGTAATGGTTAAGGGCACAGAGCTTAAAGCCAGGCCACATGGGTTCATGTCCCAACACTACCACCTACTTGCTGTGTGACCTTGGGCATATTCCTTCATGCACCCATGCCTCAATTTCCACATTAGGAAAAGGCAGTAAACATAGTCCTCAACTCATCGGATTATTTTGAGGATTAAAGAATTTAATTTATGCAAAGTCTGTAGAAGGGCTTCTGGATGCAGTAAGCCTACTATAAAACATTAGCTATCCATATATATGGTTTTCTACTAATTATCAATGGACTAAATATATCAAAGGCTTTCGTCGTATATTTCTTAACAAATAACAGTGTCATTCTATTATAAACACTCAAGGCATTTGATGATGAAGAGATCAAACTTACCACTGCGTTGAGTTTCAATAATCAATTTCAGTCAGAAAAGAACATTAAATAATGGGCAACATATGTAAGAAAATATTATCTCAATTGTAAACTACAAAAATAGTTGGAGGTGGTCTTACCATATCTGAAAACACTTCCCCTCCCCTAAGATTTGGAAATGAATCACAGTTCCAAAGAAATTAATAAAACGCATGAACAGCTGCCGAGCTCCTGTGTTATGATCGCTGTATGTTATTTCCAAGGAATTGCACAATGCAAAAATCCTATATCTATAAAATAAAACTAAAGGAACATAATTTGGGAAAAGCTATTTTGCTGAGATAGGTAGAAAGATAGATGGACAGGCAGATGGGTAGAAGACAGATAACAGACAGATGGGGAGGGAGGGACAAGAGAAAAGAAGGACAGAAATAGATAAACTGAAATCCTGATCATGAGAAGTACATCTTAAATTCTCTGGGACAAATGGATTGAATTTTAAAGAAAATACAAAAATAAGTGAAGCTTTCTCTGAATCAATACAAACTGTTGGCCTATAACTTTTTTGAAAATTCAGGCAAAACTGAAAAATAAAAAAAAAACTTTTCCTAAAATATCCAACTAGAAGGATTTAGCTGGGTAAGGGGAAAAGTCAGTTTGGGCATCAAGTATATTATTGTCACAGACCAGATACATCAGAATAACAAGGGAGAACCTTAAAAAGTTTTTAGATACTTGGGCTTCATCCAAGAGATTCCGACCTAGGAGATCTGGAGTACAGACCAAGAAACTATTTTTCTTTGGATTAGTTAAGGTAAGGCAGGCTGTAGTAACAGATTTGAAAATGCCAGTAGATTGGCACAATAGAAATGAACTTCTCACCCACAACATGGTTCAGAGGGAGCTGGGTGGGAAGGCCACTCTTCATGCAGTCATTTAGGAACCGAGACTCTTTCCACTTGTGGCTTCCCCGTAGCCTACAGTTTCACTGTTATTTGCTTGCACCCGAAAGAAGGAGAAATAGCATAAAGAAACACATGTGGGCAGTTGCAATGGGCCAGCTAGAAGGAGCCTGGATTTTCTCTTTTTCTCTCGCTCTGTTAAGGAGAATTCAGTGACTAGGCCACCCCTACCTGCAAGACAAAGAGGGAAGCACAGTGCAGCTGTTGTGCCAGTAAGAAGAGGAAGTGGATTTGAGTAAACAAGAAACAGTCTCTACCATAAAGCACACCATGTAATTTGCATGCAAAAGTGATGAAGAGTTAAAAACTCACACCAACTGCAAATACAGCTTTTGAGTCCAAATAACCTACGTCGCAAACTTAGCCACTTGACAGCTGTCTGATCATGGCAAAACGTTCCTCCACCTTTGTGCCTCAATCTCCTCACCTCCTTGTCTTTTAAATAAGGACTTAAAATTTCTATATATTAAGATTCTTGTAGGATTGAAATAAAATAATATGTTTAAAAATCAGAAAAATAACTGGCACTTAGTTAATAGTCATAACAATTTTGTCCAACTGTTCTGTTCTTTTGGGAAGAAAGGGAGGCGAGATGTTCTGTTATTTGACTTAATAAATCAGATGTGTCAGTATAAATGTATTATTCCAACTGAATTGTTTAATTAATAATATTTTAGGTGTCAGATTTTAACAAAATAGGAGTTGATTTCCTGCTCCTGTAAGTTCCTGGGCAAATCTTAAAGTTAGTGGGCAGCTGTCCTCCAGGCGACCCTTTGAAGACCCAGTCTTTTCCATTCAGGGCCTTCCCCTGTCCCGAGCCGCACAGCCACTTACCCTGGGCGTCGAGAAGCACTGCTGGACGCAGTGCACGATGTGGTCTGAGCTAAGAATTAGGTGTCTCGGTACAGAATGTTTGAAGCTCACAGAGATAAAAATTACTCCAATTTTTAAATAAAATAAAATATCTTAAAATATTAATAAGTTGAGAATGTTGGTAGTATAGTTCTCAAGCTGAGATTTACAATAATTTGATCCTCACATATTTCAATTCAGGGAATTTGAGATATATTCAGATATAACTTTTGATGCATATGAAAGCATTCTACTACACCTAAGGGCATTCAGGTTCAGAGTCGGACCTGACCTGTGCGGGGCTTGTCACTTGAAGCCAGTGGCGCCATCATGAAGGGGCTGATTCTGTCTAACTAAATGATTGAGTTACAGAGTGGTCCTGAAGTCTGGGTGAGTGCAAGGATGCTGTCTAGTCAATGCAGTGATCTATCAGAAGCAGAGAATGGTCCTTGTTTAGCACTCCCAAAAGTTGAGTTACATACAGACTTCTTTTACATATTTCTTTTAGAAGTGACATATGTACACAGGCTTTTTTTATAATTTTTTACTAAACTGCAAGAATATATCTCTGGTCTTCTCATCTTCAGATTCCAACTTATACATTCTGATCAAAATAACAAAGCGAAATACACTATGTCCCCGCATGCCTCATTGTCTTGGGTTCTCCACCACTTTCCACCTTACCTGGTTTCAAACCTCACGTATCCGACCTTCTCAGCGTACTCACACATGCTTTATGCTGCCCTCCCTCCCCCCATAAGCATCTCAAAACATGTTTTCTTCCTTTGGACTTTCCTGACTCCACCCCAGGTTACCTCTTAGGTCTCATTCTTGTTCGATGAACTCTTACTGACCTGCTAAAACCGTCAGAACCTGCTTCCTTCCACTCCCCGTGTGCTTCAGTCACAATACGGTAGTCAGTGCTCTCACATCAGCAGGCTCTCTGCTTCCGAGATCTTGCCTGGGATGGACCACCCATTAGGGAAGTGGTGAGGTACCTTCCATGCACCAGGCCTCATGGTGTCATTTCATTTGTTCCCTTGGTGCCTTGGGAACATTACCTGAGCCTTCATCCTCCTTTGTCTTTTCTGAAAAATAACCATATTGACCATTTCCTCAGCTGCAATAATAGCTACTATTTACTCAGGCCTTTACTATGTGCCTGGTTTTCTATTAAGCATTGGATATATTATCTTATTTATCCTTCTAACGTCGTCAGAATATAAAGCTTAGCACTGTGTCCACATTTTTAGATGAAGACATTGAAGCAAAGGAAGGTGTTAAGTGGCTTGATTAATTTGAGCACAAACTTGGAGCTTTAGAGTTTCCCGATGATATGGACCCCATTCCTTCCTAAGTACAGCGATGTCAGAACACTGCTGTGACCAGAGTGCACTTAGAGTGAACACTGCAGGCTCGGGCACTTGGGTTAGCAGCACTTGTTGTGGTTCTTTGCTACACCAGCCCACCTTACCAAAACTGAAGCAACCCAAACTTACATTTGACCTAGTTTAATCAAAATGTGGGTTGTGGTTCAATTATTCAGCAATTAACTACTAGGAATTTAAACAGTTTCTAATAACCACTATAAATGCTGTCTTTCTCTTGTGGTCTCTCTCAGAAACTAATGTTATTTCTCACTGCCATGTACACACGGTAAGTCCTCCTAAATACCCTGCAAATGCAGAGGGACCTATCTTCCTAAAGATACCATATTGCAAAACGTGTGGGGTTAAGGAAGCTCCTGGAATGAATCTGGAGATCATGTTCCAGCTAATTCAAGTTCCAAATGTCACCCCTTAGGTTCGTCATCTGCAGTTTCCTGGTGATAGTGCCGGAGTCCTGCTGCCACTCAGGGGCAGTTGATACAGTTTACCGCCCATTTAATGAACACACAAACTCAAGTGGAGAGGAAAGGCATGCTGGTCTCAAGAAGACAGTCAGACCACAGTCAGCAAACACCCATTGGCTATGGCTCTCTCCACCAATGGTACCATGTAGCCAAAGTGAGAAGGTAAAAAGTGGCCCAAACTTACAGGAGCCAAGAGTCACCCCTGCCTTGCCTTGTTGGCCAGCCCCCTGCTCAGACTACAAGGCAGGAGGTGTTTCTAGTAGAGACACCTCTGGTGTAATCTGGGGATTATACACCAGAATCCAAAACAAGAGTGAGCCGTTGCTTTCCTGCTTCCTGTTCCAGTTTCACAGGCCCCTGCCAGCTACTCAGGGATATTAGAACAGCGATCTGTTTTGAGTTTGGAAAGGTGTGATGTTTCTTTATGTGGGGGTGTTCAATTCATCAGAAAACAAAAGCCAGCCTCCCGCGCTTGGTGGCGCAGCGTGGAAACGTAGCACATCCCACTCTGACATTTCCCTTCTGCCTCCTTCGCCCCAGGGCACTAGATTGCGGTTTCCAGGTTGTTTTGCTTTTTCTTTCTTTCCGATTGTTTTTACTCCTCGTGCCAAGTGTCTTAAGTCACATTAACTAAAGATCTAGTATTTTTTTTAAGTAGCGCAGAAAGCTGGTCTCAGCCTCTTACCAGGACTGGACAAATGGTTCTGCCATGTGCTGCCTGCATGCCCTGCCCAGGGGAGGCCGTTCCTGATGCTCCCAGAGCCGTGGACTTCGACAGCCTTTTCCCCACACCTCCACGGCTCCAGTGCCCCAATTTCAGAGGGTTAAATCCACTGCCTCCTACTTATTTCTCAGAGAAGTCTGCCTTCCCAGACTCATCTTTTCGGGCCCTCCTAGCAGTGTCTCACTGGCAACCACCTCTCCCAGGGGCCCAAAGCTATTTGTATGACCATTAAAAGTGTGAGAGACCTGGCTGGTGTAGCTCAGTGGATTGAGCACGGGCCTGTGAACCAGACAATTGCAGTTCGATTCCCAGTCAGGGCACATGCCTGGGTTGCAGACCAGTTCCCTGCAGGTCAATTCCCAGCAGGGGATGCATGAAAGGCAACCATACATTGATGTTTCTCTCCCTCTCTCCTTCCCTTCCCCTCTAAAGATAAATAAATAAAATCTTTTAAAAAAGTCTTAAGTACACATGATTTCGCATAAGTTTAAAAAAAAAGTGTGAGAGAAATTGATGTTTTGAAAGTGTTGAACGCTCTGTGTCAATGCCTGGTAAAGCAAAACAAAAACCTACTTTTCTAGGTCTATTTCTGTTTTTTCAATCCAACAACATTGCCTGACTCATTTAGCAAGTCCCAATCACCTGCCTGTGTTGGGGGCGCCACCAGTAAGAGAATAAAAGGAATGCAGAGAAACAGTGCCCTGGGCATTTGACATGTGTTAATGCTTCCCAACTAGTTACTATTTGTATTTCAGTTTTACAAAGGAGGAAACTGAGGCCAGGAGGCATAAAGGTTTTTGCCCAAAGTCACACAAAATTGTTGACTCCAGAGTCCACACCATAAATGCTGTGCTAGGTTGTCTCTGGAATGTTCCAGAGTCAGCACACTCTTGATTCCAGAGCAGGGCATCAGTATTGAATGTTCCCCTTTTCTTCTACCCAAGGAAATTATACACAGTAGGTTCCCAGGAGGAACCCTACTTTACCTCCAGCTCTTACTTAAAGTCCTGAGCCACAAACCTGCAACAAGCCACATGCCTCCTGCTTGCTCGTTTCAGTGCTGCACTCTCAGCTTCTGGGGTCAGGGCTGCTTGCTCTGCCTCGGTCCTTGCACCTACTAGCACCAGCTCTAGATGTGGCCCAACCCAGCACTCAAAGCATCTATGCTCCATCCCAAAGCCTCAGAAGACTTTACCCCCTTCTGGTACCTGCTAGGTACCACCCTCAGTCCTCTAAACAGCGTTCACCTCCCCCACTCTCTTCCTAGCCTGGGGATGAAAGTGGGGCAGAGGAGGAGAAGGCAGCAGAAGGCAGTGCAAGGCAGTGAACCTAGTCTTTCCGGCCTGCAGTCTCTGAAGGTCTTCATCACCACAGAGAATTTTGTCCTGGTATCCCTATTGTAAGTCTTTGATAGTTTTCTGTTCACCTATCCTGGAGGATGTTGCAATTAGGGAGAGTGGAAGTACCAATAGTTATCTTCTGAGAACAGCATAAAGTGTTAAATTATTTAGGGGTATCCACATGTTTAAAAAAGTAAGTACAAGAAAAACAAGCTGCAATGAGTCAGAGGAATTTTAAAGTTCTGAGGTGGAAGAGTTCCAGGTAGTTTCCAGATGGAGGGTTTAACCGTAGTTGCATCCGAGTAGCAATGAGCCATCAAGAACCACAGGGCTGGATGACTTAACCTCACTGACACTGAAACATCCAAGACAATGGACAGAGCTGGGAAAGAAGTTTCCTCACAAGATGACAGCCATGTCCTCTGCATTCAGAGAAGTCACCTTGAGTTCGGGACAGGACAGCCACTGGATGGGGAGAAGAAACAAGTAAGCACAGATGGGTCAGCCCCAGCAGGGAAGTTACTGCTGAAGGGGTCGCAGAGGCTGTGTTAGACCAAGCGAATGCTGCCTCTATTTCTCCTCCCTGAAGTGGAGGGGAAGGCAGGAATGAAAGAATATGCAGCCAACTGTCTCTTCTGAAAGTCCTTCATGGGAAAAAGTGCCAAAGTCATGGATCTAACCTGAGCCAGTAGTTCAAGGAGGTAGAGTCTGGATTCCTCCAGTTCATATATCTTCAAACTCAGTTAACTTAGATAAGCATATGTGTATACACCACTAACAATATCTTTTATCACCACTTCATATGCACAACATAATGCCAGCCTGTGGGTGGTGTAATTAAGGAGAGAGAATACTGATGGTGCACAGCACAGGGTGAGAAAGCCATAGCCATAAAATGCGAAAGGAACACAGCATTACATGCAAGCAATGAAAGCTTGCTATTTCCATGGTATAATGCATTTTGGTTTTGATTGGAGCTCCCTTAGGAACAGAGAAGGAGCATGAAGTAGTACAAGAAGGAGGTTAAATGGCATGGGGCAGAGCGGTGAGAGTGACGTGGAAAGGAGCTATCAAGGGAGAGAACTGTGGTCTAACTGGCCAAGCGCTGTCCCTGATCCCTCAACCTCACCACCACACGGGTGCCTTAACCACTCTGCCTGGAGTTATTTGAAATCTCACGGACAGCTGAACAGAAAATGGTTGTCCTATTTTACGGCATTAGTTGTTTTCATATATTTTTAGTACTTACGCATGCATTTCTGTGTGATTTAGATATGAGAACCAGGGTTCAGGGTCTGAGATTTGTAGGGAGCAAGCCCAGCTGCACTTCCTACTAATGTGCCGGTGGAGGTGGAGGCTGATGAGCAAAGATGCACACAGGGCTGCCCTGCCTTCCTGGGCAGCCCCTACACACAGGAAGCAGTTTCCTTGTCCTCGGGAATTTTCAAAGTCTTTAACAAATGAATGTAAAATATGACACCCCAAGACAGAAGGGCAATAGGGGAGTGGCATGTCAGAAATATATTTAACCACTGACCTACTCCTCCTCTTTATTTTTTCTCCCACCAGCCCATCAATACTGTTCTACAGAGTCCAATTTGAAAAGCAGTTAGCATGATGGTTAATTTTATCTGTCAACTTGATTGGACTACAGTGCTCAAGTATTTGGTCAAACATTATTCTTGATGTTTCTGTGAACATGTGCTTGGATGAGATTTACATTTGAATCAATGGACTTTGAGTAAAGGAGACTGTCTTTTTTAATGTGGGTGGGCCTCATACAATCAGTTGAAGGTCTAAAGAGAATAAGCTGACCTCGCCTGAAAGGAACTCCGCCTTCAGACTGCCTTTGGACTCAGACTGCAACTTTTTATAGAGTCTAGCTTTCTGACATTTCCCATCAGATTTTTGACATACTAAACCTCACATGAGCCATTTTCTCAAAATAAATATCTTTATGTGTATTTATATAAGCCTCAGAAAAAAAGTGATGTAGAGAGTACACACACACACACACACACACACACACACACACACATACATTGTGTTCTGTTTGGTTCTGTTTCTCTGGAGATCCCTGAGTAGCTTACCAAATGAATATAAATTTGGAAAATAGAATGGAGTCTATTTTCAGGTAGTCAGATTAATTGTCATTCATGATAAAAAAGAGCAATAGGAACATACATAATTTTAATGTGCTATAGAAACAGGTTTTGAAAAGAGGGCAGTTAAAAACTGGACCACTGAGAAACATGTCAGAGCAAAGAAAGTAGAATCTTAAAAGTAAAAGCACCAACAGAAGAACTAAGGCATCAAAACATCACATGAAAAAAATCCTGGGCACTTCATGAGGTCTTACCTAAGGCAAGCCAGACAGACATGTAGCTTTTAGCTAACATATCAGCCAAGGCCTCAACTCAGGGCTGGTTGTATGTGTCCACACTCTAAAAGGAAAGCCACAGACAGAGGAATGTGGAGTCACAGGCTTCTGTGTGATAAAAACGCAGCCCAAGAAAAGCTGGGGAAAGCCACCCCCAAGTGCAGAATGGGAATAAGACTGGCAAGGGAAATGCATGAGGCAGGTTCTAGAACCCTTGCTCACTTTTTCCCCAGTGGGGGCCAGGTACCAGGAGCAACTCCTCCCGGCCCTCTGAGTAGAGGCTTCCCTTTCTCTGGGTCCATGCGACTTTCAGAGTTCTCACAGCTTCAATTTGCAGTTTCTAAGTATCTGAACACCACTGCTCTCTATAACAGGGGTTATGGTCCACCCATTGCCTGATACATTGACTATATTTATTTGATTTCAATACTATGTGGTCTCCTAAAGAGAACTTGGTATTTACAATAAAAGCACAATGATATACAATGAAAAGGAGTCAAAGACAAAAATCAACAAATAAAAGGAAGAGAGAAGATTGTGATATATTTTAACAGAAAGACAGCTGCATTTGAAATTTGATTCAACCATTTACTACCGACTCACTTCCAAATCTAATTTCTTCACTAACAGCTTGGAGGTTAAGAGGGCTGCCATTTGGTAGCTGTCACCTTGGGACCAGTTACTTAGCAGTCCTGTGTCTCTGTTTCCCTATCAACAAAATGGGGATAATATCAGGGAAACAAATAACACTGTCTCAGAAATGAAGGTAACTTAAAATTATTAGCTGTTCTCTTATTCCTGACCTAGTGGAAGTTCTTAAAAAGAAAGTCCAGGAGAGAGAGGGGAAGCCAACATTTACTATACACCTCTAGAGTATGTGTTAGCACTCCACAAGTTATCTTGTACAATCACCGTAAACGCTGGAGAAAATATTCTCATCAATAACAGACGCAGTGGAGTCCTAGGGGCCCTGAGGCTTAGATCAGATGCTACAACGGACCTGAAATGTCCTCTCTTATGAAGCCCTGCATGGAGTGATGCTCCCCAAAGCAGACCCCTGGGTCTACCTGTCTCAGAATCACTGGAAGTGCTTGTTAAAACAGAAGGTTCCTGTACCCTGTACCCTCACGCGCACCTGTTTAATTTCGATCTCTTGATGGTAGCGGTTTTGATGAGCTGCCCACTGCCATGATTCCTCTGCACACTCAGGAGCCACTGTTTTCCTGGTTAGGAATCAGGGCTCCGAAGTCAGGCCTGGGTCTGGTCTTGCTCTTTTGTACATATGTGACCCCAACACATTACTCAGTCTCCCTGAGACTCTACCTTATCCTAAACATGGAGAGACGACAACCTTAAAAGATTGCTGTAATCATAAAAAAATGAAAGCTTAGCATCAAGATCAAAGTCTGGAACATAGTCATTGTTATTGTCTCCTTCACATGCCATTACCCTTATTTCCTCTTTGCTTTCTCATTCAGTTTCAGGATTCACTCTGTCTGATTTCTTCTCCATCACTCAACTGAAAACAGCCAAGTGTATGTCATAAATGACCTCCTTGCCAAAGCCAATGACCTCATGCCTGATCTTGTGAAATTGTGTATCTCTTCTGTTCATCTTTTATTCACTATAACTATGCAGTGCATCTGCTCTGGGCTATCCACCAGGCTGGGTGTGAGGTATACAATGGTGAATACAACAGGTGCAACCCCTGCTCTC